ACGAAAACAAAATTACGAAGTAGACTGGACATAAACCACACACTTGAGGTGTCATTGTCTCCTATTACCCCGAGATGGGACCGTCTGGTTTGAGAAAATCAAGCTCGGTGCTGTGGTGAGTCGTCATTTTCATGCACTTTGAATTTGCGTTGTATCGTATTTTGAAGACATTAAACATTGCCATTGCGATCGGAGTGTTGCGGCCAGATTAGACGCTCCTTGTGTTTATTATTATATTTCGAAAACGCCACCATTTTCATGCAGCTCATACCATATTATTTTGTTGTATTATTTCCGCCACACCTTAAATGCCGGTCCCTGAAAATATTGTCTGACATAAACCGGTCCGTGGGGCAAAAAAGGTTGGGGGCCCCTGACTTAGGTTATGACCACACATTTTCAAAGTGGTTTATTTCTCCAGACCATTTGGCCTTTTGTCCAAATGTAAATTTTGTTTTTATGTCTTCTTGTGTTAACTTTGCATGTGTGTCGAAGTACCACGAGAAAACCCACACGAGCACAGGTGCCTGTACTTGCGTGGTATTTGTCACATTCCAAAAACATGTTAGCATGTTAGCTTCCCTGGAGTCTCTAAAATCTAAATCGTCCTTAGTTGTGACTAAAAGTATGATTGGTTGTTTGCCTTTATGTGCTGACAACCAGTCTTGAGTTTACCCTGTCTCTCCCCGGGTCAGTTGGATATTTTTTTTCTCTTTGGTCCCATTTTAAATGAATTTAGGTTGTTACTAGCCTCATCCTAGCTAGCGCTAAGCTAGTAAGTCTTTCAGGTCCGGCGTCCAAGTCGGGCAACAACAGGGAGGCAAATATTCTCGTAACTACTTTGGGGCGTCCGCGTCAACAATCCATATGTGTAGTTTTCACGCCAAATGCGCTCCCCATATAGATACGGCAGATATTAGGGAAAGGGGATGCGCCATGCTAGCATTCCACGCAGATGATAATCTGCTATGACGTTTTCTGACTAGAATGGGACAATTCTGATTCGGCGTTCATTCGACATGTTCAATTTGCTATACTGAATTCAAGTCACCACCGATTTGAGCACAGCCCTAAAATATATACGTGTGTGTGCGCGTGTGTGTGTGTCTGTGTTTATATACTGTATAGTGCCTTGCAAAAGTATTAGCTCCTCCTTGATTTTTTTTTTACGTTTCGCCACATTTCAGACAGCTGGAATAGGATCCAACAAGGTCAGGTCGAGTCATTGTTTGTGTTTGTGCTTACTGTCATGGCTTTTTTTTTTTTTTGTTGCTTTGGTTTCTTGTTGTTTTCAGGACTTGGTATATTTTGGATTTAATTTTCTCAGTGTTTTAATACATGATGTTCAGTCCACCCTGCTCCTCCGCCACCACGTTTCATGACGGCATATGATTAAACTGGAAAACTATCTTTCTAAGGTACATGCATAGATGTGAAATTAGGGGAACTCTTTAGTGGAAAAGATCCGTGTTGATACCCATAAAAGAACAACACTAAAGCCTCCCTCTGGCCTGCTGACGTTGAAATGTTCCAACATTAAACGTTAAGGATCCTGACATCAGCTGCTCGACTTGAATGCATCTCTTCATATGGAGCGCATAAAGGAAGAAAAGATATCACGTCGGTGTGCTTGAAGCTATTTGCGTCGTGGTAATGTGATGCCTGGGGAGGCATGGGGATCGAGTGTGGGGGTGGGGGGGCAGTTTTCACCCTTCTTTTCACCGGTGAAAACACCTCATCTGCGTGTTTTGCGGCGCAAGGCCCATTAAATGCTGCATGCAGCTTTGAAGAGACAAAAAGCCGAGTCGGAACTTTCTGAAATGTGTTTTTTTTTTTTTTTGCAGCTCACAGCTATCCCAGATGCTTTTCAAAAACATGTTGAAAGGCTTTGAAAAGGCGGCGGGAGGGGGGGAAAAGGTGTTAAGAGAGTCAGTCATTAATAAACTTGATGCAACAAAAGCTGAAAGTAACTCGGGGTGAGGTGATAGACTACCAGGCATATCAGTGGCTGAAAGAGGAGAAGAAATAGATATGGAGATTTTTTTGAGGCCAATGGAATTGTTGATGCTCTTTAGCTAGGTTATGATTTGATCATGCACACTAAGTGCGTTTTCCCCAAACATTCTTGGAAGTGGCAAGTGGAGATTTTTGATTTAGTTTCACTCAGCAACATGAAATTTGTAAGGCATGAGTAACAAAAAAATTCTCAAGAAGCCACTCCCCAAAAGACCAGTCATGTGTGCCATGAGTTTAAATCTCCCTTTTAATGGACACTAGTTTGAATAAGGTGGCCCGGTGGTGACTGGTTAGCATGTTGGCCTCACAATGCAGAGGTGCAGGGTTCGATTCCGGCTCCGGCCTTCCTGTCTGGAGTTTGCATGTTCTCCCCATGCCTGCGTGGCTTTTCTCCGGGTATTCCGGTTTCCTGCTACATTCAAAAAACATGCATGGCAGGCTGATTGAACACTCTACATTGTCCCGAGGTGTCAGTGTGAGCGCGGATGGCTGATCGTCTCTGTGTGCCCTGCGATTGGCCGACTAGTTCAGGGTGTCCCCCGCCTACTGCCCGAAGACGGTTGGCATAGGCTCCAGCACCCCCCGCGACCCTTGTGAGGATAAGCGGATCAGAAAATGGATGGATGAATAAAACCATGCTGGTCTATGGTTATCCTACATTTAAAAAAAAATTCAAGCCCAGAAGTAAGTTTCACCAAGCAACAAATTTGGTAGACATGTCTTTCATGAGGAGACACACAAAAAAGGTCTCCAGAAATCAAACCCCACTTAAAAACAAAATACAAAGGAAGTCTGTCATTTTAGTTTCGAGTTGCTATTTTCGGCTCATTTGCCTCAGCTGCTCCCATTTTGAGTTCCCAAATTCAAAAAGCAATGGCTCCCATTTAATCTGTGATGCACGTCTATCTATTTTGGACCCACAAAAACACATACACGCACACAAAGTCATGCACAAGAAGACACAGGAAGACCTTGAAAAGCAAGCGCATCCTCGAGATTTTGTCTTCCCTCTTCTATTCGAGCCTAATGATGCAGTCAAGCAGCGTGTGATGAAGCGCTGAGGTCAAAATGCTTCACAGCAGCCTCATTGCTTGTTATTTATTCGTCTCAACATTTCCACTTCTTCTTCTTCACTTGATGATGACACACATGCTCCATCATCTCCTCCTCTCGTGTAAGGTACGTCCAGGTGCAGCCATCCTTTCTTCCTTCCCTCCGATGATGAAGCCATCCGTTATTTCCCGAGACAGACGCGGGGGACAAAAATCAATTGTTTCGATGCGAATTAATCACAGCCGGCTTTGAATGTTAATGAGCGTGTGAGTGCGCGTGATAGCGGAATCCATTAAAAGAACAGAGAGAGCATTAAGTGGAAGTCCGGCGCGCGTTCACTCATCACGGAACGGTGAGGAACATCATGAGATCCTTACTAAAGGTAAAAAAAAAAAAAAAAAATCTGTCAGAAAATGGGTGAAAATACGGAGTTGAATTATGGAAAAATAACACAGAGGGATACTTCACATCATATTATCATAATTGTTGGGTACAATGAGAGAATCCCCTTCCTGACAGGGAGAAGTATAGGGACGAAACCTAATTGGAAATGTGATAAGCGACATCGTTGCTTCATCTGTGGTTTACTATCCTAATCACAATTTTAGTGTGAATTTTTTTTTTTTTTTTTACCTTGTTTTAATGTGTTGATGTTTTCGGGTGAATTTTTCAGGAAATCCAAAGAACGCGATCTTGCGTGAGTTACCAAACAACCAAACATATAGTTGGGTTCATACCTTATATTGCTTGCACATCAACACAAAACCACCCCAAAAATCGCTTATTTAATATAATTAAGAAGTGCTGAAAACCTGTGGTTACTTGATGTTCCCAAACTCCGTTTCAAAAGTATAATGGCCAGGAGTGATGCAATAAAAATGATGAGGTGACAAAACTCTCGATAGAAAATGTGCACAAAAATGTTTACTCTTGACTGTTGCTTCTTTCTGTACTGAAGCCTCCCAGCTATCATTTTTGACAAAACAGGCTTCCTCGATTGTATCTAAGGTAACTATCGTATTTTCCGCACTATAAGGTGCTTCCGAGTATAAATGCACCTTCAATGAATGGCCTATTTTAAAACTGTTTTCATATATAGGGCGCATAGAATAGAAGTTCCAATAGTGGCCGCAGTTTCGCGATGCATCCACTAGATGGAGCTATGCTAAAGGGAATAAAATACAATACAGCTTTATTTATATATGACTTTCACAACTGCTGCGGCTGGAACAAAGTGCTTTACAGAACTTTTAAAATACAATGTTCAAGAAATCAGAATATTGATCCATATATAAGGCACATCAGATTATAAAGCGCACTGTCGGCTTTTGAGAAAATTGAATGTTTTTAGGTGTGCCTTGTAGTACGGAAAATACGGAATTTTATTTCATTGTTGCCTAAAAAACATCCAGAAGTTCAACTCTGGGGAGGCATAATGCTGCACAAGTCCCGCAGAGTAATGGAAGAAGTAGAGTTCTACCAATATACAATATAGGGACAGACCAGCAGTATGAATTCATGAAAAATTATGAAACTAACACTAGTTCGACCCGACAGACAAAATGTCTTACACCAGGGTGGGCAAACATTTGAGTTCAAGGGCCACATTTGCACTCTTAACGCCAAACCCAAATTCCCAACACAAAACCAACCTCACACACGAAACCGGATCAATAATCCAGAATCCTGAACCATAACCCTCTAAAACAGTATTTCTTAACCTGTGTTCGATCGAACCCCAGGGCTTCGTTGAGTCGGTCTCAGGGCTTCGACGGAGCCTCTGCCATGCAGGGTGAGACACACGCGACTCAACATGTTAATTAGTTATGACACGCCCGCTTGGCCATCACTGGCTGCAGATGATCACATGACATTGCTTGTCCAATCAGTGATGTGGGAAATTTAGTTCGCTTTGAAGTCAACTGTGACTGTCGTGATAGTATGTCGTATAATTAAAAAATAAAAAGGTATCTCCTGAAATTGTATTCATTTTCTTCTGTTTTTAATAAATGCATTTTTTTTAATATCTTGAAATATATAGATTTATTTTGTATGTCATGAATTATATACATTTATTTTTCACTCATGAAGGGTTCGGTGAATGTGCATATTAACTGGTGGGGTTCGGTACCTCTAAAAAGGTTAAGAACCACTGCTCTAAAACCAATCCTGGACCATCAGAGACCATCCAAAACATTTCCTTAGTTGTGTATTTTCATTCAGGCATTCTCAACACTGAACTATTTATAAACACATTACACGCACAACTCATACTTAAAAAAAAAACCTTGGATATTAAGACAGTCCTAAATCAAGATAGCAATGCACTTGGAATGTGGTTCCGCCCGTGTCCCGGAGGAGGCGCTCCAGGTGAGAGCGTTTTCACGACTCTCCAGTCACCTGTCACCTTGCCATCACCACTCGGGAGAGGAGCAAGAAATATGGAAATGTTGGCTGCTGCGGTCCTTAATTATTCATACTCCAGTGAATAATCAGATTACAGCTGATGAGCATCCTGAATAATTCACCCAGCCATGATTGGGCCCCAGGAAATCGACACGGGAAGCAAGGGGCTACCGGAAGCATCCCCACGGCGGCGAGACAAACGCCCCCACCAACCACCGCCTCCGCCCCTACCAACACATACCACCCAGCTGCCCCCCACGCGTACGCCCCCCTGCCCCCCCATCATTCGTTGCCTCCCTGGCGATTCAACCCTCCCTGGTCCCTTGCTATCGTTTTCTGGTTCGGTGGCTGGGTTAATGACCATGGAGGGAACGGGTGGGGGTGAGTGAGGGGGCTTCAGAAGGTGGGCTTAATCTACAGTACATGAGAGCTGATTAAATGCATCTAGTATTCTCGCTTCTCGTTTAAAAAAATAAATGAAAAATAAAATTCCACCTGTTTCAACATTCTTCAGGTTTAATTATCCCCCTTGACAAAAAGTCATTTCCTCCAAATGTCTATCTTGCTTGGAGCTTCGTCCGAATGGAACAAACTGCCTCACGCAGTTCGGGGGAAATTAGGAAATATCTGCGCCTTGAGGAAGAGCACAAACTGTATTTAGCTCAATGTTGTGACCATTAGCGCACGGGACCAAAGTCCTGCGGGGAATAGTGGAAATAACAACCATTAAAGCTGCACGTAACGGGCCCTTGCATCCCGCTTTTTTCATGGCCAATCTTCGAAATTACGAACACGCTTTGATGCCACGATCCCACAGTAGATGATGAAGAAAAAAAAAAAAAAAAACGAGGAAGTATGAGACGTGAAATTCAACCCAAGTTAGTCCTCTTCATTAAATTGGCTGGTTTACTTTTCAATTTGGAGCATGGGTCTGTGAGACTTTTTTTTTTTTTTCGCGTCGTGTCATCACAGACCAATTTTTGTGTGAACCGGTGAAAACAGTGTTGGAGGCTTATTATTTTTAACTTTCCGAAAACCTTCAAATGTATCGTTCAACTTTAGCGGCATGCGCCACCCACGTGAGGTGGGATCAGCAACAAACCTCGGTAAGTTGCCTCATCCTTCTTTCTTGGAGACATGCTTCCACTTGGGGCTCATTTGGGAGTATGGAAGAGTCATGAAATATGTCCCAAATGGCTGTTTTCATTTTTTTCCTCCAATTTAACAAATAAAGTAGCATGGAATGACCCTGCGTCAAACCAAAATGGGCAACTTCTTGTCCAAATTCAGGGATGGGTTCTTCATATATTGTTGCACGTGCTGTTCTGATTTTTGTGTCGATCTGGTGAAAATTGGCATCAACTGCAACTTTTTGAAATTTGTGTGAACAGCCAAATTGTCCTTTACACTTTTTTTTTTTTTTGCAGCCACCCAATTTCAAATAAATTGGTCAGAACTGGTGTCAAGGGGAAATTTTTTTTCTACCATTCTAAGGGGCTCTACTGAGATATTTTTCTGTTGGGAACCCTTAAAATAACCATGGTGAGGCCCCCCTCAAAAGGATCTTTTGACGGAATAATAAGAAAAAACGCAATTCTAAGAGATCCTTCGTCTCGCCGGGTGCTCAGATCCTAAATTTGAATCGCCTTAGAGCATTTGAAAATTCCTATTAAATTAAACAGTGTTTCCTTCTGTTCCCTGAAATGGTGGGGGGGGGGGCATCCTCATCTTTACGAGTGTCAATCAAACAATTTCCCCCGCTTTCGATTGACGTTTACAGTCGAGGACGCTGTGGCCCGGTGAGGTTTTTTTTTTTTGTTTTTTAATTTACAAGGCAGTAAAGTTAATCAAAGTTGCGTCCACTAACTTCTGAAATGATCCGTCATCTCGGAGGATTTGACGGAAGAGCGGCTGTCAGACACCCGGTAAAAAAATCCAATGGCGTAACTTTGCGAAAATGTTGCGAATGTATTGTGAATTCAGGGAGTAGATTGCTCGGCGTTAATCGGAGGCTGAGCACCTCGCTCAGGTGATGTTGAATTGACATCATGTCGCCAAGTTTCCAATACATTGTGACTTATTTTTTTCCTGAAAGAAAATGTATTATTGTTATTAATGTGTTATTTATAACTAAAAGGGATGTGGTTTGTATTGGGGTTAAGGGTTAAAGTTGAGGTTAGGATAACCCACACAAATATAGTTGAGTACATAAAGGCTTCACAAAAACATGTGAAAAATAATAACATTGTTGAAACGAGCACAAGCTGCCGAGGCTTCCTCAGACTCCCGTAGGCTTACGAATGAAGCGCACCCTTTGACCGAGCGATGATTCGTTTTTGACCACATGCCCCCTTGGCCAAACAGACGCCTGACCTAGTTCTGCCGAGACCGTTGGTCCTCTGGCCCGGAGACACGCGAAGCCTTGGCGGCATCTTGGAGAAACACATCTGGGGGTAACGTTTGGAAGAACACCGTCAGGAAATCTGATTCAAAATTAAAGTACTCACAAACTGCTTTTTATGTCAACTCCTAGTGTAGCAACTAAAATATTTGGCTCTCATTGGTTTCATGTTTGTTTGAAAGTGACTTTGTACGGATGACATTACACTTTTGCTTCGCAACATGAAATTTGATAGGCATGTTGATCATGACGAGATGCACAACATGTCGCTACCTTGGACGCAGGGAGTCTGTTTGTTTTGTTTGAAATTTAAAAGGCATGTCTATCTAGAGTTGAACCCCCAAAAACTCTCCAGGAACAAAGCCTGGGAAGGTACAGGAAGTCCACCATTTTGTTTTGAAATTGCCATTTTCGCGTTATTCCCGCAATTTTTCGGAATCCTTCAAACATGGACTATTTCAAGAGATAATTTTTTTTGACTGTTACATAATTTGATCCTGATGTACCGTCTGATGGCAAGTATTAAATGTGAAATATTTGAGCTTTTGCTTTTGTGTCGTCAGAGCATTGGCCGCAAAGTTTGAGGACTTGCCAGATGACATGAAATTCTTGTTACTCCACAGCAACATGAATCTTGGTAGACATGTCTATCACAAGAAGACCCACAAAAAAACTCAGAAGAAGCTTTGTTCTAAATGACACAGAAAGACTGATATTTTGCTTTTTGAAGCAGCCATTTTCGACTCATTATGAACGGTTCGTTCAAAGGGGGACCTGACCCGGATAATTTGTCCAATTGTTACGAAATTTGAAATTTAATCTCTGAGATAATTAGGCGACAGCTTTTGTCCTTCCGTGTGGGCGGAGCATGGTAGTGACATCTGATGGCTTCCCATCAAAAATAGGAAAACCTCAAAAGTGAACTCTACAAGGTTAGATTTTGACCCCCCAAAAATTATAGGATTCACTTTCAACATTTGGATACATTTATTTTCCATTCATAGAATTGTGTTTTTTTTTTTATTCTTCCAATGTAACCAGCACCGTTTCAATATGCTCTAGAATCACAATCATTATTGCTTCTGTTCCCTGTGAACTTTTGCGCTTGTAAGCATCTTTCTGCAGCCAGCTCATGCTTATATTTTGTACTATTTATTTTTAGCAAACAAGCGAGACAACAACCCGGACATGATGTTTGCTCAGCTTTCGCTTTGTGTCAGCAAGCTTGTGGCCACATTTCATGCCTCTGTGACTTTTAATGAACCCGTATAAGCCATTTTTTGAGGGGCGGGAGCGGATGGGCGTCCTCAAAATCTCCCCCAAAACAACATAAAATAAACAAAGATAACATTAAAAACATCACAGTTTGGACCTTTGGGTGTAAACACAATGTTGATAAGGATTACTTACTTTGACATGTTTAGAATAATGGCTCACTAAGCAAAAGAGTTTTGGTTTGTTTGGTTCAGCTGGGAGTTGCATACAAACAAACAAAAGATTAAAAAACACCATGCTGATAAAATAAAAAACACACAAAAAAGCAAACATACTGTGACCTCCTTTTGGGAGGTCGTGGCATTTAATATCTAACGTGAATTGGGCTGCTGCTTACATTACAACAATAATGAAGAATGTAGTGTTCATTGTGTGTTTGGGACACTACTATTACTAATTCAGATACAGTCGATGATACGGTACATAATGATATATTTTTTTAAACGACCCCTAATTTGATACCCTTCACTGCACTTACACTGTGATTTTCCCCAATTGTGATCCAATAAAATTATGTCTTATTACGACCCAAATATAAAGTGATACGTTTCACTAAAGTTCTGACATAATACCATAAAAGTCACTCCAAGTACGAAGGATAAGATCCACACCGATACAAAAGTGATGTGATACAAGTCACACCAATTATAATGCGATGCGATTCACTTTCAGTTGCATGTGATATCACAAAACTCACACTTGCTGAGGCGATACCACAAGGTAGAATTTACTTGAACAACAAAATGATGCAATTCATTCCAATTACGATGTGATATGATTCATTAGTATCACAATGAGATACGATTCACTCCAATTATGATGTGATACGATTCGAGACACTCCAGTTATGAAGCGATATGATTCCCATAAATACGATATCAAATGATACGATTCACTCTAATGAGGTCTGCCGTGAACTGGTTGATGCTGTGAAATGCAACTTTAACTCTCATCCAATGTGTAGGGTTTGGCAGCTAGTTTTCATGAGTGACCAAAGATCGGCTACTTTTTTGTTGCGATTAAAAATAAAACGGATTTGGAAGATGAAAAATTGTATGGCAGGCCTTTGCATGCGGTATGACAAGATACACTCGAATTGATTTACAGCAATAACAGTGCGATAAGAGTCATTCCAAATACGACGAGATACGATTCACAAAAATGTGATTCTCGGCACTCCGATTATGCTGTGCCATGATTCACTCCAATTAAAGCATGATTCGATTCTCTCCTATTGCAATGCCAACGCACAAATAAATACCATCCCGCATGAAAAAAAAAAATATATTTTTTGTATCATTACTTTTTCACCTTCAGTCTGTGTGCAGCCGATGCGGCTTGCGTGCGACTTTGATGTTGTTGGCCAAACATGGTTGATCCTGCATACAAAAAAAAAATCTGCCGTCACCTGTGCGAGACAACCGCCGCCACTCGCCTCGACAGATGTTCTCCGTGCCAGCGCGTCCGTATGCTCTCCGTGCATCCGTATGCTTTCCTTGCATGGCTCCCCCATGTGACATGCTTGAGCGCCTTGCCGCCTCTGATACAATTGCCTCTGTTTTCCCTTCCCATGGTGCCTCGTCTGTCTTTTGTGCCTGCGCATATGCGCGGCTGGCTTCCCCGAACCCCGAGGGCTTCTGGGTAACGATACACTCTGGTTCCAACCGAGCGTCTGATTGGCCGTTTGAGTGTGTGGTGTCTCTTGTAAATAAATCACTCGGCAGTCAGCTGCTAGTATTTTGTAGTCTGTGTTTGTGTCTATGTTTACATTTAAACCACACACACACACACACACACACACACACACACACACACACACACACACACACACACACACACACACACACGGGTGTTGGACAGATCGATACGGAAAGTCGACATGGAGATACTAGACTTGCCAATACTGGGATCGAAACAAACGGCAACCTATGGATGTTTGAATTACTGCTGTACATTGTAATACCACAGCGGTCCCCAACCTTTTTTGCCGCACGGGCCGGTTTAATGTCAGACAATATTTTTAGGGACCGGCCTTTAAGGTGTGACGGATAAATACAACAAAATAATATGATATGGCCTGCATGAAAACAGGTATTTTTGAAACATAATAATAAACACGAGGAATGTCCTATCTGGCTGCGACAGTCTCTGGTCGCTATCGTAACATTTAAACGTGCATTCAAAATAAGATACACCGCAAATACAAAGTGCATGAAAAATACGACTCACCATCGCCGAATATCATGCAGAGTGGGCTAAGTGCGTGTGAATCCCCCGTTGAGATAAATCCGTGTTTTAAGTAGGACTCCTGACACTGTTTATTAAATGTAGAATTAATTTTCTTGGAAGTTGTTAGCTCCTCTTCTGTCTCCTGGCTGGGCCTTTTCCCCTTCCCAAAGAAACTTTCCAAAGACATTTGTTTTTTTTTTTTACTCGTTTTGCTACCTCCCGGGTTTCATTTTAGCTGTAACCTATCACGTGATCGAGAAGTGCGCCTTTATCTGCGTCAAGACACACTGTAGATGGTTGTAACAGAGAATCTGGTTATTTTTCAAAATAAAACATATTTCACATTCCGAAATAAATAAAACGTAAGTAATGTAACTTCTGTATTCTTTCTATGCGGTCCGGTACCAAATGACGGACGGACCGGTACCGGTCCGGGGCCCGAGGGTTGGGGACCACTGGGATAACACTTGATTCAGATGCTTAACCCTTTCAGGGACAGCGGTTACTACAGTGGACAGCCTATCATGCTATCAGGTAGGTTATCATTTTTGGTGCGTGGAAGGGTTAAAATCTCAGTTGCATAAAATCAAGTTCATAATCTTCGTATTATATTTTGAGATGTTATTATTGTATTTTGTGGTAGGTAATACAATACCACATGCAACTTTGTGATTCCGGCGCACCAGCCAGGGCACAATATGCTCCAGTTCACCTATTCAGTGTCTTGGGGCCCCGACGATGAAGGCGACATTTGGTGGCACACATGTTCACTCGAGTGTCATCAAATCGGCCGAGTGGAAAAGCGGAGGGGTCACACGGACGGGCAAGATCCAAAAAACAAGATGTCCATCAGGTCCCCCCAATTGGTTGGAAAACCCAAGGATGGTGAAGAACAGGTGGCACGAGAGCACGCATGAAGCATTGGGATGTACTTTTTTTTTTTTTTTTTTGGACAAAAGTATAAAAGAAACCTAATTGAGAATTACACCGACAAACTGCTTGGAGGGGCAGGTTCACGAACCCAGCGGAGGCATAATTGGCTGAAGTAAAACAGCAATTTGGAATATCAGTCAACCACTTCAACTCTAATTGAGGACGTCTTGTCTGTCTTCAGCCCCACCAGGGTTTAATCTGGTCAGTAGGCGGTCCTTGGGCATGCCGTCCAATTAGACTCAACGCCCCCTTCAGGCTGATATCTGTCAAAAGATGTTGGGTTTTTTTTTCAATCCCTCTCTGACTTTTCCTTAAGTAGATCAGTGATCATTGGAAGCCCCCTAGGGACGGCATCATAATAATCAGATTTTCATCTCAAGGAGTTCATCGGCATCCAGCCGCCCCAGAAACCATCTTCACAAACAGATGCATGCGCACACACGCACGCACACACACACACACACACACACACACACACACACACACACACGCACACACGCACACACGCACACATACACAGAGGCAATTATTCCGTATATCTATGGCAATTCTAGGCCAACTAAATTGTTTGTATCTCATTTTTTTTCAAACTCACCAAATTAGGCATGCATGTTCATGCCGATAAAAACATATTTTATCATAGTGGACACAGTGGAGAGCCCAAGAAATTGGCTCAAGCGCCCTCTGGGATGTTGGGAAAATTCTGTTCTTGAGGCTATTTTTATTCAGCAACATGAAATTTGCAAGACGTGTCTATCATGTGTAGACCCACAAAAAAAAGCTTCAAGAAACCATGCCTGAAAAGACATGGAAGTTTGCCATATTGGTTTGAAGTCTGAATTATTTGGGTTTCATTCAAGTGCTATTTTGGCCCTTTCTAGACGTCCCTCAAACACTAACTTCTACAAGACATTTTGTTGTCTTGCAATTAAATTGGATCGATGAATAATACAAAATTGTGAAACATTTTCATTTTCATCAATACATGTGTGCGAAGCATGGCAGTGAAGTATGACGAATCGCCACATTTTAGGAAGGTGAGTTTAAACATTCATCCCGCTAACCCAGTTTCACAATACAACAAGAAATTATTTGTCATGTCAATCATGCGTAGACCCACAAAAAAGTTTTAACAAGCAGTACCCAAAAAGATTTGGGAAGTTAGCCATTTTAGTTTAAAGGTTCAATTTTGGGCCGTTTTTAGCCTTGAATTATTTGGGTTTCATTCAAGTGCTATTTTGGCCCTTTCTAGACGTCCCTCAAACATTAACTTCTACAAGACATTTTGTTGTCTTGCAATTAAATTGGATCGATGAATAATCACAAAATTGTGAAACATTTTAATTTTCATCAATACATGTGTGCAAAGCATGGCAGTGAAATATGACGAATCGCCATAAAACATGACATTTTAGGAAGGTGAGTTTAAACATTCATCCCGCTAACCCAGTTTCACAATACAACAAGAAATTATTTGTCATGTCAATCATGCGTAGACCCACAAAAAAGTTTTAACAAGCAGTACCCAAAAAGACTTGGGAAGTTAGCCATTTTAGTTTAAAGGTACAATTTTAGGCCGTTTTTAGCCATTTGCGGGGCTCCTTCAAAGACAACCTTGTATGACTTAATATTTTTGTGATTGCTATATTTGAACCTTGCGTACTGGGACAAATGGACATTGCCAAGGAGTAAATTATTTGATTTTTCGCCAATGCAAACAGCAGAGCAAGGATGCAAATTTCAATGTCTTGTCTTTAAAACCCGAAACGCAAATGGATTGTGTTTGAAAATTTCGGCCCTGAAGTCATTTGAATGAACAACATGACATTTTTTTTTACCGTGTCTGTCCTGTGTAGACCCACAAAATGTCTCAAGAAGCCCTGTGATGAAAGTCCTGACCTGAAGACATCCAGAGGCGCCTCCGACTGACAGAACTCCAACCATTCACAACCATCATACCCGCACTCATGTCCTCTGCCCGTTCGGTAAAATCTCCCAACTTTCATGTGTCGCTGACAGCAGTGTGGGTGGCAGGTCTCTCATTAGCTTGTGTATCTCGTGATGTGTCCACAAAGTCATGTTAAGTCTTCATATTGAACATGACAACATTCCACAATGCGGAATTCCCTGGAGTGGACACATTTCATCCACCCACACCCTATTACGTGTGTGCTTGATTGCCGTTCTCACTTTCTGTGATGGCGACAACCACCAGTGAGCGAGTGAACACACGTGTTGTTTATGACGGTGATTATACACTACAGATGCTAGGATTTGTCCGAGGCAAATTTCCCAGCGGGGCAATAAAAGCAGAGAAGCATGATGCAGAAAATCCCAACGGCGTTGTGGAGTGACCGACGTTCGACAACATCGACACGCCAGAAATGTATTCCCAGAGAAGAACATGACAGGGCATGTTAGAGCAGTTGAAACAAACATCCTTTTTATGGTGAGTCGTCAAACTAAAACCAAAATAAAATGCCCAGCCCATCAGCAACAACATTTGAATCGTTCATCTGTCAAAGTGCACAAGTTTGAAATTTGGTCGGCGGTAGCTGAAATCTTGAAGAGAATTTGAAAAGAAAGGGCAGATTTCTTTTTGGGCGTGGCTTCCTGAGACTTTTTGGTGGGTCATCATATGAATGACTATCAGCTTTCATGTCGTTGAGTCAAACTGGCTTCAGTTTTCAAGCTCGACGTGTTCAAATGTAGTTTTTGTATGGTCAGTCATTGAACTTTGCTGTCATGCTCAAAAACCACACACGAGGACTAAGACTCAAATATTTCACAATCTCGCTATACTCGTTTGGTATATGTGGTTCAAATCTGGTAAGATTTGAAAAAAAGAAAACATATTGTGGATATTTTTGCCTTTGGTGTGCAAGATGGACATAAAACTGCCATCTTAAAGAACAATGTCAGACGTTCTGTGTACTTTGCAACGATATCTGAATTCTGGTGTCTTTTGAAAAATGACTCGTGGAGACTTTTTTGAGTGGCACTATTCATGATAAACAAGCCTACCAAAGTCCATATTGGCGAGGGAAACTGACTGTGGGGTCAGAGTAATTTTTTTATAAATCTGGTACAAATTAGATCACTGTCCCAAAAATTGCAACTTCAAATCAAAATGGCCAACCCTCTGAATTCTCTTGGCCATGGCTCCTTGAGACTTTTTGGTGGGTCTACTATTGATAGACATGCCAGGAGCTGAATTTTCAAAGTCACTTTCAAAGGTCAAAAAAGTTTCGCCTGATGCGTCGGTTAAATTCGACTGATTTTGTCCAGCAAACAAAACAAAGTGAATAAAACTGAGATGGAAACTGTGACAGCATAAAAAAAAAATAAAACAGCATAAAGTACGTTGTTTGCCGTTCAAATCAAGTGTTGTTTGTCCGCTCGAAAAGTTTTGCGGTACTCGCCGGGTTTGTCGTCGGCGACGGTGCGAACAGATGGCTGTGTCTGTGGACGTTTATTTTGAGTAAAGGTTAAACGGCATCAACCAAAATAGATGCAACCATCTGCTC